GCTGATGTCAGATACACCATCAGCTGCTGGGGTGCTCCAAGAGAAAAAGCATGAAATGAAGAAATTGCTGAGGCCCCTGGCTGACAGGTGAATTGGTTGTGAGTAATAATGGTCAATAATCATGGCAAGAAACCTCTTCTTTCATAGGATCTTTTGGTTCCTGACATGTATTCTGGTGAGAGGTGGGTAGAGGGACAGGCTATGTAGTTCTGGAGGGAATTGGGTAGTAGAGCACCCATGCTGAAAATGATATGCTTCTCCTTTAAAAAGGTAATTTTGGTGAACCTTCTGGAGAAAATTGAACTTACTCTGTAAAAGAGAGGCATAGGAATGCATGAAGTCTGTTGATTATATATTTAAAACTTTTAACATTTATACAGTTGACCATGCTTAGACTATCTCTGAAATCAGGTAACAATTGTTTGAAGAGAACTGAGTGGCTGAGGAACAGAGGAGGAAGGGAGATTTAACTTTGATTTTTGTATTATGTGCATGTGTTACCTATTCACAAGAATGAATAATTTAACTGGTGGCCAGTAAGCCTGTCTCAGTATTTTTTTTGTATCATTAATCTACAATTACATGAGCAACATATGGTTACTAGACTCCCCGCCGTTATCAAATATCACCACGTACCCCCATTACAGACACTGTCCATTAGCGTAGTAAGATGCTATGGAATCACTACTTGTCTTCTTTGTGTTGTACAGCCTTCCCCGTGCCTCGCCCCCTACATTATGTCTGCTTGTTGGCAGCCGCGCTCAGAAAATAGCGCCCAATGCAGGGCAGCCGGAAGGCCCCGAACTTCCTAATGACAAATCATCCCACACCTCATGTTGGGATCAACCCCAGAGGTATTAGGCCTTTACAAGTTTGGCAAATGGATGTGACGCATATTTCGTCTTTTGGGAAACTGAAATATGTACATGTATCCGTGGATACTTGTTCAGGAGTCATCTTTGCCTCCCCATTGTCAGGAGAGAAAGCTTCCCATGTCATCCAGCACTGCCTTGAAGCTTGG